AGGAAGTGGCAGTTTCAGAAAGATGAGTAAAAACTGATGTTCGTCTTGAACTAGAAAACTCAAGGAGGAAAGAAAACAACTCAGGAGTTAATTCTGTAATGTATGTTCACAAAAGAAATGATCATCAGTGGTGGAGGCATCAGAACATGTAAAGTTACCCCCCCACACACCCCAGTTCTAGCTCTGGTTATCATGGTGACTTTTTTTTTTTTAAGAATTTTTATTTATTTACTTGAGAGAGAGCAGAGCACATAAGCAGGGGGAGTGGCAGAGGGAGAGGAAGAAGCAGGCTCCCTGCTGAGCAGGGAAACTGACCCTGGGCTTGATCCCAGGATCATGATCTGAGCTGAAGGCAGACGTTTAACCAACTGAGCCACCCAGGAGCCCCCAGATTTGTTTGTTTTGTTTTTAAGATTTTATTTATTTGTGAAAGAGCACAAGGAGGGGGAGCAGCAGAGAGGGAGAAGCAGGTTCCCTACTGAGCAGGGAGCCTGATGCAGCTCGATCCCAGGACCCTGCTGAGATCATGACGTGAGCCAAAGGCAGACGCTTAACCGACTGAGCCACCCAGGCGTCCCTCATGGTGACTTTTCCAACACTGGCAGCGAACCCCCCCCCCCCCACCGCCGCAAACAGTTGCTTTAAAAAACAGCAGGGAAGGGGCACCTGGGTGGCTCAGTTGGTTAAATGGCCGACTCTTGATCTCAGCTCAGGTCATAAATTCAGGGTCCTGGGATGGAGCCCAGCTCAGCGGGGTCTGCTTCAAGATTCTCTCTCTGCCTCTACCCCTCCCCACCGCTTGCTCATGCTCTCTTTCTAAAATAAATAAATAAATCTTAAAAAAAAAAAAAAAAAAGAGGGTAGGGGAAAATGCAGCCTGTTGGCTAAATCCATTTCACTGACTCTTGTTGTATGACCCTTGACCTAAGAATGGTTTTTATATTCAAACTCTAATTAAGTGAAATGTTATCCCCCCAAAAGAATTCTTATTCTTCTCATAGTAGATGTATATATTTTAAATTGTCCTCCGTTGTTATTAGCATTTTGAATATTGTTAATAAGGTTGTGGAAATGTGTTTGTTAATGTAAGTACTCCTATAACATCTTTGATTTTGCCTCTTGGCCTGCGAAACCTAAAATATTTACTATCTGGCACTTTACAGAAAACATTTGCCAATCCCTGGCTTCAAACACAAAATGAGCTGGTCTGCTCTCAGCCAAGTGCTTGCCTTGATAAATCAGGGCTCCCAAGGCACTCTGGTAAGCCCCTTACATTTATGAGCTTGCTTAATTTTCACAGACTTTCTGGGGGGGTAAATACTCTCTGAATTCCCATTTTACAGATAAGGGAAATAGCTCAGAGAGCTTAAGACCTTTCCCTAAAGTCACACAGCTGTTAAATATCAGTTGGTTCCAAAGCTCTTACTAGAACTTTGGCAAAGAAAATTCTAACCTGTATTGCTCAGGTTGATGCAGAATATATCAGACATGATGCACTTTTAAGGCAGTAGTAGTCAGGGTTTAAAAAAAAGACACACGTGCAGACATTTAAGGAAGCATAAGGTGTAGGCGGCTAGACCTTGGTAGTTCAGAAAAATAATAATAATGATAATAATATGAGTCATAAGAATTAGAATAAGAATAATATCTATCATTTATGAGATGCTTACTCTGTTTCAAGCTCTCAACAGCCTAGGAAGCTTCAGGTAACTAGATCACAGAGCTTACAGGTGGAGGAATTGGGATTTGGCCCCTGGGGGTTGAGAATCTCCTCTCTTGCCCAACTTCTGTAGGGATGGAGAAATGAGATGCTGATGAAGACAGTGGTTGGATTTCAGTTTTCAGCTCCTGCTCTTAGGTGACACTTTCTGCTCCTAGGCTTACCGTTTCAGATCCTAAGTGGATTCTTTGAAGAAGGGATCTTATCTGAGTTTCTGTGTTCTCAAGTTTTTGACCTCCCCTCGAGTCTTCCATTTTCCCAGCAGTAAAATTAAAGAACTGGACTAAATTGGTAGTTTCCAAAGTGTCCCTATGTTCCCAGCTCAGCTTTAACCACGGTGGAGCTGCATTTGAGCTGTTACAGTTGGCTGTCTCCTGTGTAAGATTTTGTTTGAATAAAGGGTTCCTCGGCTCCCAAAGCCACTGAACGAGGGTGGTCTAAGCCCCTTCTAGGTCTCAGAATCCTAACCCAATGGCAGTGACTGTGGCAGGGTCAACAAGCAGCAAAGCCTCCTTCTCTGTCCCCCTCCCCCCTGTCTACCCCCCCCCCCCCCCCCCATCTCATTGCACCTGCTAATCACTTAAAGCCAGAACCTGCCTCTGAAGCCCTTGGGTTGGTCAAGGACAAAAAGAGGCCCTTCTGCCTTTGTAGCAATGGTCATGCCTGCAGTTTCCATCAGTCCCTGCCAAATTCATAAGCCCATACAAGAACTTATAGGAGACTCCCAATCCTGCTGAAAGCAAGTGCCCTGGTGAGATCCAGTCACCTCAGATGGTTGGGGCAGGTGTTTCTGCTTTATCTTTGTATGTTCCTTAAAGCCATGGCCTCTTCTTCCAGTGGATGCCCTAGATAGAGGCTTTGCCAATGCAGGCTTTCGGGCACTGTCTTGTCACTACCCGTCTGCATGCTTAACTGCAGCCCTAATATTGGATCAGGCTCCTATGGGAAAACTCTACAGGTTTTCTGGTCATTCAGCCTGAAGCCCTTGATCCTAAGGCAGATTCGCGTGCTGTGGTGCGATGCCAAGTTCACCTACAACGTGGGGGAAAAATGAAGATGGTGATTTTGTGGTTTGTGATGCCATGCCCTGTGCTCCCTCTATTGCTTGGGGCCTTGTGTTGGATGTTTACATAGCTCAGGAAGTACAGAAGCAGCAAGCAAAGGCGAGAATTTATCCTGCTCCCAGCCAACCCAATCGTAGCCAAGCACGCTTGCAGAGATTTACCCCATCATTATGTTGCTAGTAACCAGGTTTAAATTAAAACCCCCACTTGCCAGTAGGCGGAGGGGCAATTCAGTGATTTCCGGCCTTTTATTCAAACAGAACCTGCTTTTGTCATTTTGGTTATAGAACCCTATAATTTGAAGACTTTGGCATTTATGAGTTAATGTTTAATTTTTCCTTAAAAATATAGAATTGAAAACCTGTATGAGAATCAGCCAAGGTTTCTGAGCCTCATGAATAACTGCTTCTCTTTCCCCAATCCTTAGTGATCTTCAGCTTAGTCATTTAAATTCTCTGTGCCTTGATTTCCACATCTGTGAAATTGGAGTATTTACACACTCCAAAGTATTGTAAATTGAAAGCATATAGTGATGGCTTAAGAATAATGAAAGCCTGGATTCTACACTCAACTACCTGGTTGTGCATTCGAACTCCGTAAATTGGTGATGATAACAGGATGACTTCATGAGGCTATTTTAAGAATTAAATAAATTAATCTTTATAAAGCTCTAAGAACAAGGCCTGGCACATACAGTGAGTACTGCTTAAATGTTTGTAACATGTAAACCCTTAGGATAGTGTCTGGCATATAATAATAAAGCTAAATAAATGTTAAGTTTTATTCAATTAACCTTTACCAAAAGAAAATTGCCATTTTAATTATTTTAAAAGAGTTGATTTCTGTTGGGGCTTTTGCATATCCCCCAGTTACAGAGATCTCTCAAGTCCATGGATACACATTTGCCCAAAGACCTGTACTGGCATGAAAGAAGAGGAAGGAGGGGGTGTGAACCCAGAAGGACTACTCCTGTAGGCACAAATGTGTCCAGGAAGTAACCTGGAGCCCTGAGGTCCCCCCAAGGATGTCCTTGGGCCCATGGTAGAGGCCATTAGGAAGCTAAGGCAAACCATTAGCAGGACTATAATATAGCCTTAGTACATCCCGAAAAGGGGTAAGAAAGATATCCCAGACTTAAATTCAGGGCTAGACCTTTGGAGACTCAGATAGAGAGTAGAGCCTTCTCTGATTTGGGAAAGAATCTGGATGATCTACTGAGCCTTTTTGGGAGAACTATAATACAGTGCCCTAAACTCTCTTGCACTGTTTCTTCCTGCCTCAGGACGTTTGCACATGCTGTTCCTGCAGCCCCAAATGCTCTTCTTCCCTTTTGCCCCCACCCTTCAGTATTCACTGAAGTTAACTTCAGCTTCTTCATTAGCTGAGTCAAAGCTGTGCAGGCTCTGGTGTCAGAGGGCCTGGGTTCCTATCCCAGCTTTGAAACTTAGGAGCTGTGTGACCTTGGGCAGACACTAACCCCTTCCACACCTTTTTTTTTTCTCATAGAGTTATTGTCAGGTATCATTTTTAGGTCTCGGTTGAAATATCATTCCTTCTATTTAAGGAAAGACCCCTCTGATTTTGTAAAAAGAAGAAGCCTGTTTTCCCCTCCCCCGTCTTATAAGCTCAGGGCTATCGGTTGGTTAGGTTTCACTTTGATTTGGAGAGGTACTGGGTGAGACCACAGTCAGATGTAACCAACTGAAGAATTGAACTTTGCCCGTTGGCTGACAGTTTTCTTTTCACGCTGCATCTCTCGTGGGTGTCCCAGCGTTTATGCCACAGATTGTTCGTTTCTAAGTAGCGGATGGGGAAGAGTTCTGTGGTGAAGCAAGGTTGGGAAAGGATAGGTGACATAAAATCAGGTCCACTTTTTTTTCTGCAGGACTTCTCAGAGACTTGACTATGGTAGTGTTTTGTCTGTTCCCTGGGCGGCGAGAAGGAGGGGACGGCAGGTTGCCCAGAGGCGCTCTTCATGGAACCCATTTTTCGTTTTTCATGAAATACAGTTCACCGTGGTTCCTCCAAGTGCACCCTGGGAAACACTGCTTTGTTTGCTGTGGTCCTCCCACCGCCAAATGCTAGTGCTTCTCGGGATGTAAACAAACAGAAGGCTTGTGATGTGGCACCAGCATGCCGGGGGTTTCGACTGTATGTCTACAGCATAATATGACTTCTCATCATTGTGCCTTTCTTTTCCTTCTTCCTCCACACAGAGAAGGAGACCTTTCTGGATCCTTTCGTCCTCCGGGATCTCCTGCCTGCGTCCCTGGGGAGCTATTACCGGTACACGGGTTCTCTGACCACCCCGCCGTGTAGCGAAATTGTAGAGTGGATCGTCTTCCGGAAGCCTGTCCCCATCTCTTACCATCAGGTAGATATTCAGCCCCACACGGGACCTCTGTGTTCACTTGTTTTGCACTGACTTAGCCATTTAACATGGCTACAACACACCAGTGAAGATGTTTTTATTTTTTATTTTTTAATCCTCTGCTCCCCATTGATTCGTTTTTCTTTCCAACACACGTTTTTGAACCCAAGAATTGAAAAATATAAAACATGGTTTCTCAGCTGCAAATTAACTGGCTGAGAATTGCTGGTATGAGATCAGGTATTAGGTAAGTATTCGATCTTGAGGAGAGAATAGCTGTTCTCTATGATGATGACAGCTTGTGCCAGAAACTCTGCTGAGCTCTATATATGTGTTCACCCATTTAATCCTCAGGAACAACAGTCCTCTTTGTAACCCCCTTTTATAGAGAAGAGTTACAGAAGTGAACCAACTTGCCCAAGGCCGCACAACTGGTTACTAAGCCATAGTGTCTGATCCCAAAGATCATGCTCTGAACCCCTAAACCTATCCAAAGTTCAGAAAAGGGAGAGATTTGTATACACGATGAAATGAAAGAGTAAGTACCGTTGATGGAGCTCTGTGTGCTAAGCACTTTATATATGGCCAGTTTCATGGCCAAACAGCGTGGAGAGATGGCTATTGCACCAGGATGGTGCACATAAGGATGTCATGCCTGGAGAGATTGGGTAACATGCCCAAGAATTCATGGCTAATGACTGTTGAGGCCAGAAACCGAGCCCAGGTTTGTCTGATTCCAAAACCCATGTTGCTAACCATTACACAGAACTGCTTCTCTCTGACTGTGGCCGGGGCTGATTTCCTAGGAGGGTGGATTTAGAAATTGGTGAAATGGAGATGGGGTTGAGGGCTGTGTCAAAGGAAGAGGAGCCACTGGGAGGGTGGGAGTGGGAAGGGGTGGGGAGCCTTGAAATCACCTCATGAGGGATAATAGATGGAAGGCGAAAATTCCTAGAGGGGATGTATTAGTCATCGTAATGCAGCATGCACTGAAGTAGAAGAAGAGTATGTTTCTTCTCCATAGTTCCAGAAAATAGAGCCAGCAATAATGGGTAGGATTCTAAGAAATGGGATTTGAGCCATTAAGCAGGACTGTCTAAAAATGGAAGGTTCTTACCAGAGCTGCTCATGGAAATGCCTTCCCAGAGTGTGACAGGTAGGAATACGGGACATTGTAGTGGGCCAGGAGAAGTTCTAGAATTATGTGATAGTATCGGTGATGTAACTGAAGACACGGGGAACAAGATTATGGATCCGGCTGCGATGGGGAATAGTCCAGAGATTTTCCTGGTGAAGGCAGAGAGTACAGAATAGGGAGTAGGGGAAATAGGGTTGGATGGTGTCCCAGTCAGGTCTGTTTTGGAGTTAAGAAACAGAAACCCACATAAGGTAGCTCAGGTAAGGGAGCATTTTAAGGAAACAGTGGTCGTGGCATCCTGAGATGGAGCCGTCATAACCAGGACTGTAACTAGGAAGCGAAGCACTCTGTCCCTCAGGGGCCACACAGGCTCTTAAATCTTGGAGTTTCTGCCACTGCTCTGTGATTCTGTGATTCTGTACTTCTACAGAATTCTCATCCCTTCTTACTCCTTCTTTTGTTTTGGTTACCTGGCCGAATATGGTTGTTCCAGTGCCAATTGACCTTTCAACCCAAGGGCCAGCTACCAACTGACAATAGTGTGGGTCCTATTTCAGTTATTCAAGAAGATAGATTTGAATAGATGTTGGTCAGCCAACAGCTTGGCTGGCCGTGGGTCACGTGTCCATCCTCAGATCAGCAGAGGGACCAGGGAGCTTCCTAAAACATCCAATGTTGCCGCTCTGAGAGTAAATGGGGCAGGTTGTTTAGAAGGAGCTATGTGCAGGAGAGACATATTGTCCCACTAACAAAGTCAGGCCAGACAGACTTGGCTTCATTGCTGTTGGCAGACATTTTACTTTGAGAAAAATTTTTTTTTCCTTTAATTCTTCTCTGATGACAAAAGAAGTACTAGCAATTTGGTTGCTGAACAGGATCTGCTAGCTTTAAGAAGATAATGAAATAGGAAACGAGTTTTCTTCCTAATGGTGAAGCCAGCATTGTTTTATTAGGATAAAGTAAAATTGCAGTCCAAATATTTATATCCCCAGGGTTGGGGCAGGGGACTTTGAAAAGAGATGCTTTTTGTCCATTAAGATAGATGCTTTTGTCTTCAAAGATATAAAGGCTTGAGATAATGAGGCTAAGAAATAACAAGTCTGGCCACTTTTTTTGTAGGACACTCTGTGAAGGGGAGAGGCAAAGAGTAATAATTGTGGAGTACTGGGGTTTATTAGAATTTCAAATATTTTGTGGGTCCAAACAAAAGGCAGAGTCGTAGGCTTGGATGTCTTGTCAAGTGTTTGTCAGTTAGAAGCATTTTGACGTGTGGTAACTGGGCGTCTTAGAAAATGCCTAGTTAACATCTGTTTACCCTTCACTCTCTGCCGTTCAAAGACTCAGAAGAAGTAGTGGAAGGTTTTTTTCTCTGTGACTTGCAATATATGACGTCTCTAGGTAGTTTTGTTTCAAGGAAATAGTGAAGAAATCAATTAATCATATAGGCTTCCCAGTTTCTTTACTATAAACCATCCTTAGACAATACTTTTATCAGACACAGCCTCACCTACCCACCCCCCCAAGGGAGGAGAAATAGCTCATTTTCGTGTGGCCAAACGGGATCCTTGCTGGCACGCCACATGGAGGTCACAGTGATAGCAGCGCTCAGAAGGGAAACCATTAGCCATCCAAGTATTATCACTTCAGACCTTCCCACCCTGACCCTGCCAACATTCTTTAGGCAGTTAGCACAGAATGTTCATTTCAGAAAGGCAGACAGCCAATGCGGAAAAGCAAGTAGACAGAATCCCTCATCTGCTGCTGTCAGAAAACATTCCTAGTTACTCATCCTTCTCTCTCTCCAAAAACTGTTTCCTCTGTCTCTTCCCCCTTACACCGTGTGGGTACCTGTAAGCAGTGAAAATGAGAATGTGTCCACCATAAAATGCAGTGGGTAGCACTTGTATGATGACTTGTATGATCGGGATTTCTTTGAAGCCTTCCAGATATGAACAACTACTTATTTTGCCTCTTTTGTGAGTCTCCTTGGACATTCAAGCCAGCCCCATAGCCAGTGAGCTCTGACTCTGGCCCGTGTGATAAGCTAGATCTAAATATGGTGTTGCTGATGGAATCACATGTTGGCTTGGTTGGCCAGCAGTCAGCATGGCTTAGGGGGTTGGTTCCGCTGAACATCTACTGTAAATAGTAGGCACACATCGTGTTGTGACTTTATCATCCAAACAAAGTGGTGGCACTCTCAGTGCTGGTTTACAAGGTCAAAGGAGCAAGACTGGCACATTGAGATGGTGCCTGTGCTGTGTTCATGATCATTTGAGTCCGGTATACAGGGATGTGTTTTATTCTAGAACAGTGACTCTGAAATGATGGCGCGTTGGCCATTGGAAACTATCTGAACCTTTCCTTTCCAGGACGGTTTGCTTCCTGTAGTTTAAAATATGAGACTGCCTATAATTTTTCCTAGCACAAATTTTGTTTAAGTGCTTCTTGGAGGCGCTATCAAAACAACAGTAAATAAATATGAAGATGTCTAGTTTGTTTGCTTTTGGATATTTAATTTTTTTTTCTAACAGTAAGCTGGAGTGGTTAGGAAAGGTTTATTTGCAATACTTTTTTTTTTTAAACCAATGTTATCTCTATCATAAAGAGCAGAGAAACTTTTGAATTAAGACTGTGTTCTATTCGGAGCCAGACTGCCTGGGTTGCATTCTTGGCTCCATTTCTTCAGCCAAATAATTGAGCTGCTCCACTGCGTACTCTGTGCCTCAGCTTTCTTCTGTAAAATGAGGATGATAAGAATATACCCACTTCATGGAGTCATCATAAAGATGAAATGATGGAAAGTGTGTGGCACGCCTCGACTAGTGCCTGGCACCGCAGGGCGTGCACAGGACATGTTAGGTGGGGTTTTTTGTTGCTGTTGATAAATGATCACCAAGGCTCGAGGGCAGCACGGTCTGGTAGAAATAAAACAAGCCACATACGTGATTTCCTAGTAGCCACATTAAAAAATGTAAAGAGAAACAGGTGAAAGTCATTTTAATATTATATTTGATTCAACTCAGTATAGCAAAATTATTATCATTTCAACACAGGGAGCTCACCACATTTCTAGTGGAATGGCTGCATTTGGCTCCTGGTTGTTGTAGCCCTCACATTTATCCTCACATTTATCTCAAGGCCACAACACCTAATGAATCACATAATTCAGAGCATTCCAATTCCAACACCTCATAATGCCCAGTGCATGTGAATAGAGAGGGTTTTTTTAAATGGTGGGGTGAAGGTGTCATTATTAATCCCAACAGATAGCTTTCTTTGGTGGTAATTATGGTTAAATTCATTTCTTTCTGTAGAAGGCCTTTCTATAATCGTCTTCACGCAAAACTCTCTGTTGCTGCAGGAGGGACATGTCCTTGCAGTTAGCTAGCTCTTCTTGGATTTTATTTTTACATCCATGGTTCAATAGGTAAAACTTTGGATGCTCCGGGCTGTTGGGAATTTAATATTCCATCACTTTTGTTTAATAAGGAGGCAACACAACTGGGCCTGCCCTGTCACCCCTCAAATGTGTGGTGAAGTTGAAGTGTCTCCGTGACCTTAGGTGTGACATTTCAGTTCTTAATGCTTACCCCAGCGTTTATTATTATGTTTATAATGGACTCCGGTTTTATTTTAAGGCCATTATATGCCCATCCTATAACATATTGTACACATCAGCCTTTTAATGGTTCATAATTATATTACTTTTGATTTTCTCTCATTTTTCCCCTTCAGCCGTGATGGTCCCTTCCCCACATCTCGTGGACGAGAGCTCTTACTGCACACGAACAGCATGAATAGATTTCAACCTTCCTTTGATTTGAACTGACAGATTAAAAACTAATTATTCTCTGGAATATTTTTATAATAAAAACTAAATTGAAATGATTTATATACACTTCCAGCCAACACATTTGCAATTCAAGGTTAAAATTATTCTTGAAACAGCACCAGTTAAAATGCAATTACAACTCCCCAAGCAGGGATAAAAGAAAGAAATGTTTTACATGTTCACTTCAAAAGTTAAAAAGTCAATTTTACATTATAGAAATAAAAACTTTCATTTATTTTTACTAAATGATAAAGACTTCATTAGTTATGTTAAAGTCAAGATAAATCCAAGTGTGTTTATTACTTACCTCTGGAAAAGAATAGGTGAATAAGTGTGGGTTTTATGTGGTGCATAGCTTTTCCTCCTTGTGCCCACCATCTTGTTCCTGGTTCCCAATTCCTTCTGTGTTGAGCCATAAGCTGTTTCTGTCCAGAGTGCAGAAAAGTGCAAATAGATTTATGTTGCCAGTGGTGGGTGCCCTGCATAAGTGATCTCTCAGGGTCAGCTAGAAGGAACTCTTTGGGGACTTCTGTTACCACATTCAGTAACTCCACCGCAGTGTTACTCTTTCCGTGAATAATGCTGCAGGTCTGTTAGGCATGTGACATGCAGTGGCTATGAGCATGAAAGAGTCAAACAGACCTAGGTTTCTAATCCTCACTTCAACGGGGGGGGGGGGGGGGGCGGGATGGGCTGGGGGGTGCAGTGCACATGAGCAGTGGGGAGGGGCAGAGAGAGAAAGGGAGAGAGAGAATCCCAAATAGACTCTGAGCTGAGTTTGGAGACTGATGGGGGGACTCGATTCCACGACCCCAAGATCAGAACCCGAGCCCAAACCAAGAGCAGGATGCTCAACCAGGTACCCCAGTCACTTCAAATCTTACTTGCTTTGTGATCTTAGGCAGGTCTTGTCAAGTCTCTATGCCCAGTTTCCTCATCAGTCACAAATAATGATAATGATATCATAATACCACCAACTTTATGAGACTTCTATGAGGAAGTAAGGGAGTAAATTAAACACTCAGTAAATATTTAGCTGCTAGTGTTAATGATATAACAGTGTTAACAATGTCACTTTAATGTTATTATGTTAAACTAAAACAAGTTAGAAACCAAAGTAATGTTTGTGAATTCCATAACAAAGTACCTGTCACAGAATGCGTTTGATAAATATACATTCCAATGAGGACAGGAGGGAGAAGCAGATAGAGCATCTTACAGTTGTTGGAGGTTTATAATACAATCCTAGTTACCACATTCCTCATAAAATAAGAATAATAATAGTAATGTTAATAATACTTAGTGAATATCTACTGTGTGCCCAGAATTATTCCAAACACATTATATATAGTAACTCATTTAATAATAGCAAGAACCACATGGGATAGGTATTAATGTTATCTCTATTGTACAAGTAAGAAAACCGAAGCACAGAAACATCAGATACTTTGACCAAGGTCACACATTTAGCAAGTGGGGATTGAAAACAAGGTTTTGAACCCAGGTACCAAGAGTAAGAGTTCTGAGTTTGGAGAATTAGGCACAGGCCGGATCCTTAGGGCCCCACCGTTAGAATTGGAAGCCCTTGGAAGTTTTTGAAGGGAGGCGTGATGGCATCTCATGTACATTTTAAGAAAATCACTGTGTGGCTGTTAAGCAGATCTAGAAGAGTTGACAGTTTGTCCTGTGGCTGCAGAGTTAGGTGGTGCTGCCATCTGGCACAACTCTAGGGATTACCTTCTCATTGTAGTTTTTATAAATGGAGTCCCTTGGAATCAAAAAGTAGAGGTCTGGGTGGTGGTCGGGTTCACCTTTATCGAGTGTGGTTACAAGGCAAGAGTGAGGGTCAAGGACAACGGGAAATAGCTATGTAATGATTTATCAGTGGATTTCTCACCCAGAGTGTCACTGTTCTCCTGCCAAAGTGAAAACGTAGACTCCCTTTGCCAATCCAGGCATCATGGTGGTTTCCACCCAGTGGCCAAACACGCCAGGCACCAACGAGAGAGACCACTGGCAATTTTCACTCAACTTAAAGGAATGACAGGGTTTTCGTGAATGCTGCCAACATACCAAAGGACATTTGATGAGTCTGCTAAGCTTGACCTCCTTTTCCTCTTTTGTATGACTGTCAAGCGAAGCTATGATCCAGTTGACAATATAATATCGTCCAGGTCATCAGTTCACTCTGAAAACCGTCATATCCTTCCTTGGAAATCTTTGGGCAAGTTGAGTTAATGACAAGGAAGCAGCCAAGCTTTTAAGCCATAGCATGTCATTAAGCTGTAAGAGCAATTTAAGCAAAAGCATTTTTGTGTTAAATTCAGAACCTGCCTCTTTTTACAGTTATATGACTAATTCTTTCCTGAGGCATCAGAAATAAACTTTTTAGGAGAACTAAATGCTAGCTGTGAAAGAAGCAAGTCTTCCAGAGAATAAACAAACCTTAGAGTCGGATTGCCGAGACAGTCTCCAAGGCCATCCTTTTCTGGCATCTCAGAGATTAAACTATTTCAGGACAGATGGCTTCTCTTTCAGAAAATTTCCGGTCTAACTTGCTATGTATAGCAGCCTGGCCGCTTAAAAAAAAAAAAAAAAAAAAAATCACCCTGAAAGTTGAGGAATTCTTTCTATTCAACTCACGTCTCTAAGGCTTTAATTTAAACCAATTTCCTCTTTTTGGCCTTCTCTGGACATGGAGACTGGTCAGCATCTTCCACATACAAGGGCCTTTAATCAAATTACTCCTAACTTGCCTATTTTTTAGGCTAAACACTTCCCACTTCCCTTCACCTTTCCACAGGGGATTTAGCCTCTGTCCCTGTAATCACTCTGGTTGGTCTTTCCCTAGACGTTCTCCAGAGAGTCTTTGCTAATTCCTTCCATGTAATTTTAAGAAGTTATTTTCTGTACGGAAACTCTGAAACCTTCTCTCCTGTATGGATGTGTTCAGTTCCGAGTTGGGTTGCCCTATCGAGTATGCATTGCCAGGTTGAGGAGATTGGATTTTTTCAATACCTCCAATTATCTTCATCTGAGTGCGTCACATTTGGCAGAGTAAACAGTCCAGCTTTCTTCATTTTTCTGCTGTTACTGCCTTTCTTTCTTAACTATAAATAAAGAAGGAACATCGCAAGGAAGACTGGGAAGAAAGGAAATTTTGAATAGCCACCATAGGAGTTGTTAAAGGTTACGAGACTGGTGGAGAATTGGAATAACACCACAGGACCAGATGACTTTTGCTTTTAGGCTGGTTGAGAGATCATTCTGGCTCTATTACCTTGATGAAAAAGCAGAAAAGATTTCATGGTTTGTTATCACTTTCCATTTACAGGAGAATTGGAGGGGAGGTGGCATGATAGGTGAATCCAGGTACTTAAGTGATTTTTCTTGGCGATGATCACTATGCACATTCATTGCTTTCTCATGCAAAGAGGAGTTTCAGATCAAGCAGGTCAATTTTTATGACATTGTCTGAAGCTGTTTGAGAAACACTGGGGTTAGTCCCAGGCTTCAAGACGACCATCCAGAAACCCAGGTTTCGGGGGGTGCCTGGCTGGCTTAGTTGGTAGAGCATCTGACTCTTGATCTGAGGGTCGTGAGTTCAAGCTACACGTTGAGCATGGAGCCTACTAGAAAGAAAGAGGCAGAGAGAGAGAGAAAGAAAGAAAGAAAAAGAAAGACCATCGTAATGTTGCTGTATATTAACATTGGTGTTGGCCACCCACTGGTCCCCGAAAGCCTAGGGTGGCCACTCAGTGGCTGCTTGGGAAGCATCCGACATCATTCATCTTATAATTCTCTGCTGCAGAAAGCATTCTGATTGGGTATTCAGTGAGCCAAATGGACCAGAAAGAGTTCATTCAGTTTCTCTCTTTTTCATTCCATTTTCATCCCCCACTTCAAGGAATTAGTATTACCCATGCTGGGCATTTTAGATTAATTTTATTTCTTTGGTGACCAAGATAACTTTGTGGTCCACTGAGAACAGATCTCTGGCACCCAGCCTCAGCTTCATTTCTTTTACATCAAAACATTACTGTGTGTGCGGTTTTTTTTTTTTTTTAATGAGCAGAAGATTGAGGGCCACAGAGAATCCTTTTTAATAATGGAAATATGACCCTGAAGTCCTGATTTTTTTTTTCTTTGCTTTTCCATAAAAGTTTGGTCTGTAGCCTTGTGGAAAGTATTTTTTAATAGTATGAATAATAATGATCACAGCTAATCCTTACCATGGACTTAATGGCTGCTAAATAATTTACATCCATTTTAATGTTTTCAATGATCTTATAAGAGAGCTGCTAGTATTATATCTGTTTTATATTACATATATATATAATGTTTATATATATATATATAAAATGTTTATATATGTTGAGTTACTGATGCTTTAATGGTTTGACTATGATTACCCATCTGGTGAGTGCTGAAATTGCGTAGTTTACCTCACGAGCCATGCATTTAGCAGCTTTCTGCCTTAGCAACTTTGCTGAACTGAATCCCTAGTACATACGCAAGAAGATGCTTAGTAAAAAGTGAATCACTAGTATTTACTGAGCTCTTCTGTTCCCGGGACTGTTTTAAGCACTGCACATGGATTATCTCATTGAGTACTGGCACAACCCCTGTCGGGGTGGGCACTGTTGTAATTATCACCATTTTGTTGAGGAACAGTTGAGTCTCAGAGCAGGGAAGCAGCTTCCTCAGGGCCCCAGAGTGGGTGAGCTATGGAGCTAGAATTTCCATCCAGGTCGTCTGGCTCCGGAACCTGCCAGTTTCACCATAGCCTTGTGCTCCTTCCCAGAATACTAACGGTCTTGCCAGGGGGCAGAGCAGAAGGACTGGAACTCTTTTCTGAGACACAAACTAAAAGAGTTCTGTACAGGTCTCCTCCGGTGGAGTGTTCTCCCGGTTCGCGCACACCGCCCCCCCGGCCCCACGTTGTACCACATCGCTTTTCTCATTCTTGGTTTTTTCCCCCCTCCCCTCCCTGGTTCTCTGTTTAGCTCGAGGCTTTTTACTCCATCTTCACTACAGAGCAGCAAGACCACGTCAAGTCGGTGGAGTATCTGAGAAATAACTTCCGACCACAGCAAGGTCTGAATGACAGGGTGGTGTCCAAGTCTGCGGTCCGCGACGCCTGGAACCACGACATGACGGACTTCTTAGAAAACCCACTGGGGACAGAAGCCTCTAAAGGTATATTTGGATTAAGTGCCCCTGCCCGGAGGAAGATTCCTTATCATAAATTACTTTAAATTAAAAGGAGTTCCAAACCAGCCAAGAGTTGGAACTTGGTGTTAAGAGCATATGTTTCTCTGTTAAAAGAGGCTTGTCTGGATGATAAATAGAAGCAGTTGTGGGAATAACTTCAGTTAAATAGATATGTTCAGAATTGCCCTTTTGACTAGTAATACGTCAGTCATTCTGTTGGTATTTTTACCTTGTAACATCAACACTAACTAGTGAGTGTCTAAAGGCAGCTCTTGGGTTGCAGCTCTTTTACCTTGCACCTGCCCCCCCTCACCCCCTGCCATTGGGATCAGGACACTGTCTCTGACCTCAGGCACCAGCACCTTTGACTTGCCCCCCAGCGCTCCACCCTGCAGCCTGCCCTTACCTCCTTACCGACCTCTTCCACACCAGGCAGAATCTCCCCCTCCCGCTCTCCACCCCTACCAGACACCATGTGGCCTTTTTAAAACCATTATTTAACAGTTTGATTCCCGTATCCGATAAACATGAGTTTATTCTTTTCAGGCATCTTAATCTTTTTCCATTTCTACATTCTCATGTGAACTGAACGTAAATTTCTCTCCCAGCAAACTAGAAAGTTGGATCCTACCCTCACAGCTCAACTTCAGGCTCCATGATTTGTCCTCATTGTGGCTTTGAGTTTGGGAAACACTTAGAGAATAAGGCTGATCAAAATTCCAGTACTAGGGGTGGGGGGTTGCCTGGGTGGTTCAGTCAGTTAAGCGTCTGCCTTCGGCTCGGGTCATGATGCCAGGGTCCTAGGATCGAGCCCTGCATCGGGCTCCCTGCTCAGCAGAGAGCCTGCTTCTCCCTCTCCCTCTGCTGCTCCCCCTGCTTATGCTCTTTCTCTTTCTCATTCTCTCTCTCTCAAATAAATAAAATCTTTCAAAAAAAAAAAATTCCAGTACTTGGAAGGGAGGAAGGAATAAGGAGGACTTTTCTTTGGAAGGGAGGAAGGAATAAGAAGGAATTTTCTTTGGAAGGGAGGAAGGAATAAGAAGGAATTTTCTTTGGAAGGGAGGAAGGAATAAGAAGCAATTTTCTTTGGGTGTGAGGAGATGATTCTTTCCAGTGATCTCCTCTCCAAAATTGTGAGCTTGGGTCATATGGAAGGGCTTGTGTCATTAATCAACAGTGGACACAGACTGTGGTATTTTTAGTGGTGTAAGTTACATGGGGATATTTTGTTTCAAGAGTGCCCCCACCCCCAATAAAAAGGACCAATTTACTGGCGTATGACCTTTGTAGGAACAAGGGGGGGATGCGATTATATTCCACAAATAACTGCATTGATGTGCACTTTGATGATAAGAATGAGCCCATTTTCCAGGCTCAAATATCTGAAAAGAAGCTAACAGAAGAGGAAAAGGAGCTTAAGAATGTGATCATTTCCTTCTTTTGATTTTGTGTGAGGATGGTGAGAGAAGCTAGTCTGGACAGATGCCATCAAGAAACGCTTGAGATTCAAGTAATTTGGAGCCGACACTTTGTCAAGGGCGTCATTTGTCAGATAGGAACAATGGGTGGGTTAAGAAGCATGCAAACCTGGGAAATGTCTTAGGTTGGCTGGCATAGCAAACCTCTCTCGGGCTAATTTTGTTTTTTAACCAAGCTAAAAATAAAGAAAACGACCAAGCTCGAAAGCTTTCTCCCAAGAGAACTTGCTTGGGAAAAGAAGAATCTCTTAGGGACTGAGTATTTTGTGAGAGGTGAATGCGGAGGACGTGTGGGGCATGACGAATTTATATCGCAAGTGAATGCAAGATCTGGTAGCTCAGAATTGCTGAGGTTATGACAGTTACAAAGTTCTTTCCTAAAAAAATGGGCTGAGTATACAATATATCAGCTGTGCAGAGGGAGTGCATGGCTCTTATTACCCAAAAAAGTCAGAGAAGATAATGGTTTCTGTCGCATTAAATTGTCAAAGGGGGCAAGATCTTCTACTGAATGGGCTTTCTCTGGATTTGAGCACAGCCTTGGACCCTACATTAAATATAGGGAATCAGTTCTTCATACTACAAGATTTTGTTGCAGTTATCATGGTGTGTGTGCGTGTGTATTGCTGCCTCCTAAAATGTGTGAATATTGAAATGTTTTGTGATCTTTTTAGAAGCAGAGAAGGTAAGTAAATACAGTCCTATTTGTGTTTTAAGCATAATCCTGGAGTGTAACGTACAGAAAAGCGTACGTGCACCACCTGATGCATTTTCACCCCCCGAATAGACTTGAATAGCAAACCCCCAGGTCAAGAGACTAGCATCACCAGCTTCCCTGGGGCACCTCCATCTCCTTCTTCCTAGTAACTGTCCATTCCCGTGGGAAACTGCGAGCATGAATTAGCTTTGCCTGTTGTTGAATTTCACAGAAATAGAATTATCCACTCTGTCCTTTTTTGTGTCTTGCTTTTTTCACTCTACACTGGTTTTGAGGGTCATCTATGCTGTTGCATGTAGTTGTGGTTTGTTCTTACTGCTGAGTTCCATTGTGAGACTCTACCTGAATTTATTTATCTGCTTCAGTATATATGAATTGTATGGATGGTTTCCACATTTTTGTGATGATGAAAACTCTTGAAGGTGCTTTTTGATGAGCATCTGGACACATCTCTGTCGGGTATGAACCTGGGGGTACAGTGACGGCAGCCTGCAGTACACACATATGTTCCGATTTGGTTGGATACTGCTCAACAGCTCCCCAGAGTGATTCTGTGAACCAGCAGTCGGTCAGTGTTTCCTGGTTTTTTTATGGCATAACGTACATATCATAAAATACAGCTATTGTAAATGTACAGTTCAGCCATTTTTAATAAATTTAGAGTTCTGTTTACAGTTATATATGATCCGGTTTTAGAACATTTTCATCACCCCAGAAAGTTCCTTCAATTCTTTCTCCTATCCTCAGCAACAGGCAACCTCTGATCTGCGTTTATCTGTCACGTGACATTAAGATTTTTAAGATTGTAGCATCCATCAGTAGCTCATTCCTTTTTACTGTGCACTAGCATCCCTCTTTGTTGTTTTTTAATAACGGCTTTTTTGAGATTTCATCCACATGCGATAAAGTTCATTTTTTTTTAAAGCGTGCACTTCGGTGGAATTGAGTATATTCACAAAGTTGTTCATCACTACTACCTACTTCCAGAACAGTTTTATCGCTTCCCCAAAGAAAGTCCATACCCATTAGCAATCACTCACTCCTTCTTCCTCCCTTTATTTCTCCCATCCCTCCCGCTTTCCTGGCCCGAGGCAACTTTCTGTGTCTGTGGATTGGCCTAGATAGTCCCTATAAATGGAATCATACAATATATGCCTTTTTGTCTCTGGCTTCTTTCAGCGTCATATTTTGGCATAATGTTTTCAAGGTACATCCATACTGGAATAGATCTCAGGATTTTTCATTTGATGGCCAAATAATATATCATTGTACGAATATACCACAGTTTATCTGCTTATCAATGGATAGATGTTTGAATTTTTTCCACTTTGTGGCTGTTGTCAGTAATACTGCTGTGAACATTCATGTTCCAGTTTTTGTGTGGACATAGGTTTTCAGTTCTCTCAGATGTATACCTAGGGGTAGAATTGCTGAGTCACATGGTAATTCCAGTTTTCCCGTTTTGAGGAACTGCCCACCTGTTTGCCAGAGCCCTTGCCCCAGTTTGCATTCCATCAGCAGTGTACGGGATTTCTCCACATCCTCACCAACACTTGCTATATGTCTTTTTTTATTTTAGCCATCCCAGTGGAGGTGAAGTAGTACTGATTTGCATTTCCCTAATGACCGATGATGTCCCTGTTTGTTTTTAAATGCACATTTCATGGAATCATGGTCTACATGACCAAATGCTACTCCTTTTTTTTTTTTCCTCCAAGAAAACTCAGGTAATTCCATGGCACGATGGGCCAAAAGCCAGCCACAAATGCTCACAATCAGGCAGGCAGCCTAGAGGGCATAGATTATTGACCTTAGACGTTTATGCAGTAAAGAGTCCCAATAGAAAGGAAGAGTCCCTTTCTCTTCTCCAGTCTTCTGCAAAAAAGATTTGAAAGAGAAGGATGGTGTCCTATAATCTTCAGGTAATTCAACAAAATGAAGCCTGTCTGGTTGGCATTCTGTATCTGATCACTTTTGGAAATTTTCAGTGCCTAAGAGAGCTACAGTGTTGATCATGGAACAGTGCATTTATTATGCTATTGTTATAGAAGAAAGAAAAATAATTATCTAAGACAAGAGTCAGTAAGCTTTCTTGATTAAGGACCAACTAGTGAGCACTTAGTGTCTTGTCGAAACTACCCACTCAGCTCTGCCACTCCGGCATGAGGGCAATCATGGACAATACACAAATGAATAGGTGTAGAAAACATCTTCCAAAAACACCTTATTTACAGAAATAGGCAGCAGGCCAAATTGACGAACTGATGCTCTAGGGGATGGCTCAAAGGAAGATGGAGAAACTCAATCATAGGCTCAGTTTAAGGTAAATATTTTCTGTCTTAAAGATGGTGGTGACCATGACCATGAAGCATTGGTTGGTTCTACTTCTCCATTCCACTGCAAGACCTTAGGACCAGTTAGACATTTATTAACTCAGTAACCAGCTACTTACCAGTTCGCTTTAACACCTGGTCATCTTTCACAACAGACGTGTAAACAGAGCCTCCGTGGACTGATTACAGCCCCGTACCTCCCTCGTTCCCTTGGCAGTGATCATTAACTGGTGTTCATTGAGCAGCACAGCGAGGAGTGCCTGAGTTGATGTGCCCCCATCTTGCCCTTCTGTCAGGATGATTGGACATACTGGAATAGAGAAAACAGAATCAAGCCTTTCAGTGCCAGCACTAGACACATGGCCATGTACAACACCAAAGGAATGGGGGGGGAGAAATCATCTTAATACTGGATTGTTTGCTGAAGAAAGACTTATAATGGATGTCATCCATAAA